ACCTGTAGTGGTCAGTACAGTTTGATTTTTTTCCCCCCCAAACCCTGGAAAAGTGATTGATAAAAATGTTGCAAAATGTGTTGAAAGTACAGAATGTGAACAGCCACTGTTAGAAAGGTATACAGACCATGTTAATGCTGTGTTACAATTACAGAACTGCTATCAGAACTACATAAGAGATAATTATACTGTTGGGTAGACGAATGCAACAAACTGCAGAAATCAGAGCTACAATAACACATTGGGCAGGAATATACACGACTAACATCCACCAATACCTTAGTGACCACAAAAGCAAACAGTAGGGGCACATCTTTCAGCCTCTCTAACCTGTTACTATTTGTTCCTTCACTCGTCAGTAGGGATGTCTGCAGCTGATGTGTAGGGCCAGTGTGAGCGCTGATCAAGGCATGTTTTTCATGGATCAGTTTTGGCAATATCACGCTTGATCCACTGCTGATACTTTGTTTGTTGAAACCCCTTTCATTCTGGGTAAACCAGCTGTGAAAAAGCCCCACTTTGCTCTATTTAAACACTAAAACTGTATTCAAATGTCAGTACAGCTAAAACAGGCAGATGATTTAATGGTTAATCTGCAGCTATTTTAATCATTGATTATCATTTTTCAAGCTTAAATGCCAAACATTTGCTTTTTATCTGTATCTCATATGATAGTAAATGGAAAATATTGGTTATAGAAAAGCTGTTAGACAATATAAGCCATCTGAAAACCTCATACTGGGCTCTGAGACTTTGTGATGGCCATTTTTCAAACTTTAATTAAGATTTAATAGTCCAAATGATTAATTAACAATGATAAGAATTATTATTTGCAATCTTAAATCTCAGTATTCTGTTGATGCTGGGGATGAAGTGAGAATATACTGTGCTTCTCTTTCCACCAGTATTAAACAAAATACTACAGGGCACTATATAAAATATTATGTAAAACCACTACAGGAAATATGTGTTACAGGCTATATAAGGTAAACTCCACTGGTTATACACCTGGGAGGCCTGCTACTCAGCCTGTAAAAACAGTTGTATAATAATAATAATATAAAATCTGAGTTCATTTCTGCTGCTTTTATTTTAACCGTTTTTTTTTTTTAATCAAATCCCCCTATTTTTGCGAGGTGCAATACTCTGTGGTGCTTCAGTGTGCTATAGTACTACACCACCAAAGTAGTCTGTTTGTGTATCTTTTTAATTATAAATGTTAAAATTCAATTGGCTTGTTTTATTCTAATGTAGATCAACTGCAATGTGTTTGGCTTTATGATCAAAACAAGGTCACATGCCTGTAATTGTTGTTTCAGTTGTACTGTGATGACTCCGGTTTGAATCTCTCTCTGTCTCTCCTCTCCAGGTATCCCCCAGGAGTGGTGAGCTTGCCAGCTGGCGGCCTCCCGCCACCCGTTGAAGGCATTGTGCCCAGCGCCGTGCCCATCACACACACCCTCCCGCCTGCTGTCACACATCCTCCTCATGCCCCGTCCCCTGGACAAAATACAGTCAAGCCACCAGAGGGCGACAGAGAGCAGCATCCAAACGACCAACTGTAGCCACACACACACACACACACACACACACACACACTAACACAAACACACACACACACACGCTTGCCTGTGTTGTCTGGTGACCGGAAGAGGTTGGCAACTGGGATCATAGCGATAAGTTCCCTAGTGACAAGTTGTTATCAGACAGGTGTGTCAGATCGACAGGTTGAGGTCCCAATATGAATTGATTAACAACTCTCTGGCAATTGGTCCCCGGAAGCCAGCTCACACTCCAAAGAGGAAGAAGAAGAAGATGACGAGAGGATGGAAGAGGGTGATGAGGAGGAGTGGATAGCTGTCAGATGCTCTTATCAAAGAGCCAGACAATTGTCCTCTGCTCCAACCTGAAGTCCTGTAAAGATCCACAGGTTTATCGTCACATAACAACAACTACAGTATAGTCGACTTTTTAACTGTTTTCTCTGCCAGAAGTAAAAAACAAAACAAAAAAAAACTGTTGATTTGGGAAGAAAAAATACTGAATCAAATTCTGCTGTCTTAGACTGTAGTATGTCCAAAGTTAGAGGGGCCTGTTTCACGTCTTTCTCTCTTTTTCTGTGTCCTTTCCTTAGTTTGATGTACAAGCAAAAGTAGTAGGTTATGAAAGGAATGTAACCTGTCTGTGTACAGTTTTTAGACTTACGGCAAGAAGATACTGATATTTGTATTCCAGTCTTAAGAAAAACAAGGGTTCTGTGATCTCTATGTAGCCAAACTGGTTTGAGAATACAATATCTGTTTTTTTTTTGTTTTTTTATGTGTCCCCAAATGAATAAGCCCCCCAAAAAAGAGGCAGCTTTTTGCACACCATCTCAGGAAATGAAGTTTCCGCAGTTGGTAATATTATTTTAGAAGTTTTAGAAAATTCATTTTTATGCCACTTAGTGCTTTTGTTTTTCTACCTGCTTGCCTTTTTGTGTCCCGCTACATTAGAAAATGAACTTTAACGAGAGCTAAAGTTGATCTAATGTTTGCTTTTGTTTGTTTTGTTTACGGGGCATGTGATTTTGCTCTTGGGACTTGTGTAAATGTTTGACCCAGATCGAGGGGGTTGTGGGAGGAAAGGCTGTAGGGAGGTGGCATAATGGTATGCTTGGCTGGGACGACATCCTCCCTAGTCGTGAATTGAATTTACAAAATAGAGTTGTTGGATTAATTACTTTGAAGGACGAAGTAGGTTGCGGACGAGGCAATGCACTGACAGTTTGTAGCAGCTTACAGCTTCAGAAACAGTCTCATAAAAGATTATTATCTATGTTGTCTTCATGTCTAATGATCCAGTACTTCCACTTTTATGTGCATTAATTGTCCAGGTCATGGAACATGAACAGTTCAGCACACCAAGGTTTACAAATGATGCACAACATTGTTGAATCGGTGTGCTGCTTCATGCTGCTATATCAGTGTCTTACTGAAGTTGCCCTTCTAGCTATGGATCCATCAAAATCAGCCAACAGACTTGTGAAAACCTACATCAACAAATCTATCTATTTATTTATCTGCCAAAACTATTTCTGGTTCCTATCTGAAGTTAAAACTCACATGACATCAGTCATACCAAAATGTTCATAATTCTGATCTGCTCTCACATGGCTTGTCAGTTAGATCGAGGTGCTGAAAGAGGAATGATCTGCTTGTGAAAGCTTTTACAACGTGAGAGACGTCATTCATGCACAATAAACTAAAGACATTTTTTGATAGCATGTCGGAACGTACTGATTTCTCCAGTCTAGTATCCCTTTAACACTTCATGATGGGTCCTTCCTGAGTATACCGTTAGCCACCCTCTGTGGCCTCCGTGTCTATGTGTACATATGGTGTTCTGCCTGCCTGTGTCAATGTGACTTGGTTGTATCTGTGTCTAAAAAAACAGCACTGGGAGGAGGGGTGGTGGCTAGTACTTTTCCACAAGGCATCATTGCAAAGACTGCCATCTAAATACACAACTTAACGCTATGTAAAAAACCTAAAAATGTTTAGAACTAGACTTCAATCTAAGCTAGCAAACAAAGCCAGTAATGGATGCTTTTACTGGTTCCCACCATGTGAACAAGATGCTGATATTGTTAAATCAGTAGTAAAACATCTGAAACTGTTTTTCTATCTGGAATATTTATAACTAATTCCAGTTCATGTGTGGTTGATGTTAGCAGGCCAGCTAAGTGACGGTGCTTTTTGGATCCCCTTCTACCAGCAGCTGAGTAGTAAAAACAGTTCACTGTTGCCTACCTGGTCTTCTTCATGGTGAGGTAGTAAGAGTAGCAATCAGGGATGGAACTTTCACTAGCCATTGGTGAGTATTTTACAGCCCATGCTGAATCCGAAGGGGGTGTCTAGTGCAGAAGGTACTGAGGGGACATTTAAATATTACTGTCGGACTAGAGCCCCAAAATCCTGAAAGGAATGCTGGAATATTTTGAATTTTACTCTTGATCTTTCCTCACAAGATGCCTGACGTTATGTGGAGGAGAAACTCTTTGCATTAAGCTCTAAGCATTCCTCATTCAAACCGATGGGTGCCACAAGTAAAAACCACAGACTAGTTTTCAAAGTGTCAAGGTGCTCCCTGAAATTCCATCCCTGGTAGTAACACACAGTCCACTGTTGCCTACATTGGTCCCCTTTATGGTAAAGTAGTAGGCGTAGCAATATACAGTATACATATTCTATATTCTACAGTAAATATCATTATTTTTGGTCAAAACTGACAACCTGACAAAGATATGTTTGTGACTGTATGCATTTGTATGAATTATTTTAAAAGGAAATAAACTGTGGAAAGGTGAATCTTGTGTCCCATTCATCTCTAATCTTCATGTTTTGTATATAATAATATGACCTCACAGAAAGCTTCCTGTTAGCAAAGCCAGTTAAATTTGAATCACAGAGGTTTTATCACCAAAAGGTGCAACTAAAGTCCTTTCACAGTTACTTTTGTAGTTACTGCAGGTATACATTAGAGCTTGAGAGCCATGTGCTGTATCACTATTGCACACTATAAAATAATTCTCACCATTTTGGTAGCTAGTTTAAAAGAAACTGTTATGTACATTTTTGTTCTGTAACAGGAAATCATACAAGACACGAGGACAAATATCAGTCCAACTGTGACAATTTGAAATTTGAACACTTAACAAAGACAAAATGTTTCTCCAACTTAAACATTTTGCACGTTTTTCCAGCTGTGAATAGTTGACTTAAGATTTATTAGGACGTTGACATAAAATTAATCAGTAACTATTACATTCATGTTTGAAGCAAAAATGAAAGCAAATGCATTCGTTGAAATTATGCGTCTAGCTTTCTTTTTCTTACATTGTAGTAAATTAAACATCTTTGGGCTTTAGACTGTTGGTCGGACAAAACAACACACATGAAGATGTTACTTTGAACTTTAGGAAGTTGTGATGGGCATTTTTCCCCATTTTCTAATGTTTTATAGATCAAATGATTAATCAGTTAATCTAGAAAATAATCAGGAGCTTTATTGATACAAAAAAGATTAGTTAGTTCCAGCCTTAGAGCAAAGCTCAGCGTCTCCAGAAGATGTTATATGTACACTGACATTCTGCTAAATGTTGTGACTTCTTCAGTGTGAACACAGTACGTAGTGAAGTTCAAGAGTTTGCATCCATTAACTCAGAATATAAAGTTACTAGTTGATTCCAATAGATGTCACTAGTACAGCTGCAACAGTCACACTGTGGAGAAATGCATGCAATCCAGCTGTAACAACTGAATCTGCAATGGCTCTGCTACTTGCATCAGTTTTCTGGATGAATTTATTTCTATATTTCTCTTTTTGTGTTCGTCCAGACACATACAGTCCACCTGTGTCACATTAGTACAGTGGTTGTCAACAAGTTATTGACCGCTCAAACATAAAGCCTGGTGTCATAAAATCAGGGATCATACAATAAGCACAACATCCATAATATGGAATAATAATAAAGTATGGGATGATGTATGGAAATAATGAAGCTGCTTTGGTTAATACTGTGGATGATCCAGAAGAGGACTCAATATTAACATTACCGGCACCAAACCAGCTCTGCCAAAGATTTAAAGGCCTCGAGATGAATCAAATGTAATCCAAAACACTGAAATTGTTGGACTGAACAAAGGAGAACTCAGATTGTCTTCCAATTTACATATCTTTCCTATTGGATATTTACACTGAGGGAATCGATTGGATAAGGTCTGATTCTAGTTAGAAAAGACTTGTTTCGTTCAGTCGAAGGAAAGTGAAGTATCCTGGATGCGTGATGAAATGTATCTCCATTCAACACAGAATGGAAATCCACTGAATCATAAGACTAAACTTAAAAGATACCTCTGTAAATATAGACTATATTACATTATGGTTTACCTATTTGACCTGAACTGGACTAAAGTTTTTTTTCCTGTTGAAATAAGATACAATATAAATATACCAGAATCTATTCAGCAGTTACAAGTTCAAATTCTGCTGTATCCGTCTATCGGAGGAATAGAAATGGTTGTTAGCTTAATGCTGCCAATCATGTGACACTTCATCTTGAACTGACTATAGCTGACTTCGGACATGGGACATGGAAAGACCTCTACTACATCCCTTTGTCTTACTTTTTCTCTTAATCTATCTCTCTTTTATTCCCTACATACCCCCAAATCTCTCTTTCTCTTTGTCCCTTCCTCTTTGCTCTCTCTCTCTCTGGTTCATCCATTCAAGGTTATGGCCACTGGAACAGGCTCTCCAGCAGCTGGAAACTCAAGATGGTTTAATCTAAACCTCAGGAACCAGGATGGGAACCAGATGTAGTAAAAAAAAAAAAGAAAACAAGCAGAGGGCACATTTTATTCAGCTAGCATGCGGACCTCCGAAGGGCACTGTGCAAAGGAGAGGAAACATTTTCAAGAGGCTGCTGGAACTTTTAGGGAGGAAATAAGAGTCTGCTTATGCCTCAAGACCAAATGTGTTAGTAGCGACCCCCATCAGGCTTAAATTCAAATATTAGAGACATTGCACAAAACCCTCAATAGGTTTTAAACAGTTCCATCTTCCTTTTGAGTATTGCCCAAGCTTGAAGATTTAAGAGATGTTGGCTTGTTAGAAAAGAGGAAAACTCAGGGAAAGGACAGCTGAATGACTAACGCTCTCCACTTCTTCAGGAAATACTATTGAGCTGCCCTTGGGCAAGGCAGTTAACGTTGATCCATGTTATAGCATAATTCTGTTTTACAGGGTTCAAGTGGAAGAGTGAAGCTTTTTTCCTTGTCAAAGCCTTGGCTGTTGGACAAGACAGCCTGAGGCATGAGGGGAACAAAACCCTGTAAGTTTAAATAAAGCAGCTCTTGTAAGTGGACAGAGGACAAGTGAGGCCTTTTCCAAACAGCGAGCTTGTGAAAAGCTGATGGCTGGTGGAAAAAGTGGCTGATGGTAGAAATTAGGTAACTCCATTTTGCCTTTTTGCCACTTCAACTTAAAATATAAAAATACACTGGCTTTGTTTCTCCAGATCTTTCTAGGTTTTATTGCTCTGGTCTACTGGCCTTTTACACCACTAACAAGATATTTGAAAGAATGAATATTTGTATCTGAGGTTTGGTATACACAATTACTATGTTTTATTAGCTTTTATTGTTTGAGGTGCTTGTAACAGACTCGCCGCATGATGGCTTAACTACCACATTTTCATTAAACAGTCATCAAACCAAGATTTCCGTTTAGGTTTAGAATAAATGTCTGTATCCTGTGTAAAAGTGTGTCATTCACCTGCTGCATATTGCTTGTTTAGTTTAGGACACGTGGGCCTGCTTTGTTCGCAAATATGATTTCTAACCATTGGTGTAATATCAGTAAGCCTGAATTCTACAGGCAAGTCTGCTGTTAGCTCATTTCTGAGCAGTAAAACAACCCCTACAACGGAGGATGTCAGTGTCGCAGACTGAGATAAGAAGTTGTTTTGGAGAGGAGACAGAAGCAAACACCTCTTACTGATTACAACAGTAGAAGCATGCTGGTATGGGCTTAGTTTCGTCCCTTGCAGCAACAGCACCAAAGGTTAAAGGAAAAGTCTGGCGTCATTCTATAAGTTTCTAACAGTCAGCAAACTCCACAAAGACCACAATCCTGTCTGTGCCACAGACAGTGCTGGTGATTTTGGTGTCTTCATTGGATTTGATGACCAGAACAAAATCACAGAATATTGCCAACCTTATGTCAGTTCCCTCTCTCTCCCCCCTTTCCTGTCTATCTTCAGCTGTCACTATCCATTAAAGGCAATAAAAGCCCGAATAACAGAAAAAAAGAAAAGAAATTCAATGTCATTTAGGATAAGTTATGTAATTCTGATGTTTGCATTGTTCACAGTGGTTGATCTGTTGTGCCTGATATTTTCCATTTGATGTGTTTCAGATTATTCTTCAGTATAAATGTTTATTAGTATATTGGGTACTGATGGTTCCATATTTCAATATTATTTATATACCTAGTTTTTGGTCCATTTTATAACAAATATCTATTGACTGGAAGGTCAAGATAAGACACTAATATGCCATGGAACGCATAAGCCTTGATTTCCTTTCAAAGGGGCAGTAAAGGAAGGGTTAGAGTTTGATAGCTTACTTGTCAACCTGTGGGTCTCTGTTGAATTGTGTTAAGCATCCACAACCTGCTGAATGCAACTGCTACCAGTTCACTGAGTCATATATATATATATATATATATATATATATATATTAAAGCTGCTTTTTTATTGTATGACTTTAATTTTTAGACCACACACTTAGATAACTTATGATGTGTAAATTCCTTGTTTTGTACGGCCTCTGAAAGTGTGTGTTTGCCTGAGGTGGGTCCAGGCTTTAACAGATGAACTGGTTGATGATGGACATGGAGGAAATGGGCGGATTTTCACACTTCCTCTTTGCATCCCGCTTGCCTCACCCCCTGCTCTTCTCACCTTTCCTCTCACATCTCTTCTCACCTCTCTGTGGTTTCTTCCCTCCTGCCATTTTTTCTCTTCTGCTTAATATTCTGTTCTCCTCTTCCCCAACTGGGCACAGTCCAAAAAGCCCAACAAAAGATTATTATCCACAAAAACGGGGTGGAATACAGTGGCCGCCCTAACACTAAGAAGGTGAGCTACCCTGCTGAGCTGAGTTCCCCACCAAATGCAGGATTTCCATTAGCATTTGTTTCAAAGAAGGTTTCAATATCCAGTGGGTCCACATACTGTTTCACAGGGCCCTTCCACCCTGCCAAGAAAAATGTCTGGTGGTTAATAAACACCAGACACGTGCTTGTAAATGCTGGCTGCTGCCTGCAAGGTGCCAACTCCATTGGCTGTTTTGGCAGGTCACCATTACTTTGTTGGTGGAAAGCAGAAATGGTGCACTTCCAAATTGTCTGCTATATTGTCTCAATTTATCAATTTTTACAATGACAACTGGCCACCACTGTGTCACACTTGTAGAAAATGTTTTGTGATATTACAGCCAAGCTTCATCATTAAAATGGATTGTAAAATGTCAACAACAGATGGGGGTTAGCTTGAAAAAAACACTTTTTTTGAGCACTGACTAGCTTTTGCAGCAACCGTTGCCAAAATGATGATATGGGGATACAGCAGAAAGCTCCTGCAAGAGATTGTCCATTTGCAAGAGAGATTTAAACCCTTTGACTGCAGCTGTCGGCCATAACGCCAAACATGCAGGGTTTTGTTGATTTTATGCCTCTGAATGCCTCATTCAATATCTGTGGTTTTAACAAGTCAAAAAGACTGGCTCTAACTCCAGAGCCGGGT